GAAATTTTTACGCGATTTAAAATTACATGTTACTATTCATAAAAATGTGAGATTATCTATATCTATATTATTATAAAAGCATGAATATTTTACACCAAATGTTAAACGACAAAAATATCCTTGAAATATTAGATGACTTTTATACCCTTCAAAATAAATTTATTTCTTTGAAAGAAAAATAAAACGTTGGGTAATATGGTAACATTTAATGCCTAAAATATAGGAGTTCAAAACCAACTCCAAAAAGAAAGCAGAATGTTGGATAAAATCTGCAGTTTATTTAGTGCCCTACCTATAGGAATTTGAAACCAAGTGATAGTAGAACTTTTTTAAAGCTATAACATAACGTAGAATAGAATGAGAATCTCCATATAAACTTTAGCTTCTGGTGCAACAACACTACTTCTGAATCTAAAGGATATATCCATTCGGCCAAAAAGAGAACAGCAAAGTCGTGAACCCAAAACAAGAAGCTTTTGCGCACAGTACCTCTTCTTTATTCAACAATAAGAAAGTAAGGTGATAGCATTGGTTCATAATAACTGTTGTGACCTCTTTATTTGATGCCATAATCTCTTTTCTTCAATATAGTATTACTAAGTATTTCTAAATTTGTATCACTAATGTTTTAAAAAAAATAATTGTTATATATATGGTGATTCAATGATTCTCATATATATATTTTAGTACTTATGACACAAAAAAATACTTTTTTGAAGTTCGTTATGATTATTTTGAACATGATTTCTTTTCTACTCGAGGTAACTATGTACATCAATTTTATAAATAACAAAATATAGTTTCTTCGAAAAATTTGGTTCCAATTTTATGAATTAATGTTATCTACTGTATAGCAAGTTCAAAATTAGATTGTGGTTATTGACTATATGTTGGCAATATTTCTCTTGCTTCTCGTGTCTGTTTGGAAGTAGATTTGGTAGCTAGGTTTGTACAAATTTTTGTACATATATATTGGGCGTACGTGAACCTAAATATGTATGACTCCCGACTATATGTTATTTTGTGTAAATTTTACTTGCAGAACTCTAGAAAAAATGATTATTTTTCAAAGACAATACATAAACGGAAAGACAACACATAAACAAGTTAATAGAAGAAAAGCATTGCTTTTAATTTTTTTTATTTTGTGAATAATGTGATAATATTTAGCTGGATGAGTATGTGAAGTATATTTGTTGTGTTATGTTGCTTCTTTAAAGATTCTCGATAATGCATTAGTAGGAGTTAGATGAAGATTTTGTCCTAAATATAGATTTTATGAGCATATAATATTTTTATGAATTTTTTGAAAACTTTTCATTTGTATATTGCTCATAAACTAAGGTTACAAGACTCTAATTAACGACCGAAACCTCTTATTATATATTGAATATATTTGGTTAATGCTTACCTTGAGACGTTCCTTTTGCTCCTTTTATTCTTTCACTAATCCTTTTAATTTTATCTCAAAATATTTACGCTTATTTGATGCAATGATAATGAATAAATTACATGTTCAAATAATCCTAAATGTTGGACTATACTACGACAACATGTTTTTCCATACGGACAACCTTATGTTGCACTTTCAGGAACGATATTTATGTAGAGAATAGAGTTCTGATCATGACAGAACAACCAAAGCGACAAATGTGGAATCTAACTAACTAAACTAAATTATCATTTTTGTTAGTTCAAATGATATCTATTCTTTTATTTAAGTATTAAATTAATGTAATAATATTACCTAAAAACTTATATTAGCGACAAACAAATTATGTAGCTAAACTGCAAAATCTGTTGCTAATCCTATTTAACAACAAATTAATCAAAGAATATTAAAAAATTCTGGTAGCGACGGATCCGTGATGAACTTCGTAGCTAAATCCAGATATTTTTTGTACTATATTGATTTCAACATTAGAAAATTATTGCAGTTGGCTGAAGACCTACGTGCAACGCACGTACATAAAAACTAGTTATTATAAAAGCACGAATATTAGACGCTAAATATTGAACGACAAAAATATCCCCTAAATATTGGTTAACTTTTATGTCCTTAAAAGTTAAAATATGTCTTCAAAACGATAAATTACATATAGGATAAAATTGTAAAACTAGGCCATATACAAATTTGCATAGAATCCTAATTGCTAGGCCTAAAGTGAATTGCATAAACTTCCAACTCCATTGGAGTCTAATTTTTCGATTATGCCCAACTGTTTTCAAACGCCAATTCCATATAGAAGAATATTTATTTTTTACATTCTCGATATTTTGATTTTAATTAATCGGACTCTTTTGCCCATTAAAACTAAATTATTCTTTCAAACAATTGATTTTATTGTGGATAAAATTGTGATTTCAATAATTTATTTTGTTTACTTCAACTGCACTTGAACTTTGAGTTCTACGGGAATACTATCTCAGACACTAATGTTTAGGACTTCGATATTCATTAGGAATCAAAACGTCGAAACCAAATTAATCACGTAAGTTTACTCACACAAAGAGTTCTAATAATTAAATGAGCCTTTACCGAATTCTAGGTAAAAAGAGTTTACTCGCATAAATTTTCTTTTCTTTGATTAATATATTTAGCGTACAATATTTATTTTGACATATAATATACAGCAACATTTTTGTCTGGTGAAGTTCTCCCACTATTCTCATTGACCGTAGCTTTAAAATATTTACTTTTTTTTTTCTTTTAATCAATAATATTATGGATATGCTTTTAATAAATCTTGAGCATATGTAAAATTTTACTCGTATCAGATAATTAGTAGTAACAAATTTGAGATAAATGCTTATTATATGAGATAGAAATAACTTATTGATAAAATTATGCTTGAGTGAGGTAAACATGTGGGTGATGAATATGGTATTCGCAAACACATACTGATTTGTTACTTTAAGTTGTTAACTTGACCTTTTCTCATAAACAACTTATCAACTTGGACAAAAGCATATATATTTTGTCAGGATTAATATTTTTTTGAAATATTTTTTTCTTTATTGTTATAAATGGCTTAGTTTTGAATATTTTTAGGACCCATTTATTAGTTATACTAAATATTATGAAATTCAATAATGTTAAATATTATGTATATTATTGAACTTCATAATATTCACGGACCTAAAATATATCATACATATTCAATAATATGTAGTTTTAGAACATTTACGCAATGCATTTTCTAATATTTGAAACAAGATATTCCGTGCAACGCACGAACATAGAGACTAATTAACATGAAAGATAACATTAACATATGCTATACCAAATTAAAATATATTGACAGTATAAATTTTCACGGTATATATCTCTAATAATGTCCAACCGGACTATGTTGAGGCTTAATGATTTCCTATTCCACTATCTCAACAATCTTCCAAAATTCCAAATGTACAAAGCATAAATAAAAATGAGAGAGTCGACCAGTTGGTACGATTCAAAATATCATAATTACTAATTAAAAGCTGTAAGAACTTTAATTCCATTTTAGGAAAGTTTCCCTCTTCATAATCCTAGTTGAGGTAGTATTCTTTTCATAATCCCACTTGAACTAGTAACAGAACAACGGTTCTACTATCCCATTTAGGAAATCTCCTACTATTTCCTACTCCGAATCAAATTAGTAGTGAAAACTCTTTATATATAAACACCCCTCGGTTAATCCACCACGCATCATTCTCATTACTTTTAGTTTGATCAAATTTTAATTAACACCTGAAGTATGTGCATCTTCATCACTGATTCCGACGAGTCCCACCAGTCGAACACCACCACCACCATCGTCGGCGTCACGTACGACGACGGCGTCATTCTTGGCTCCACTGACATAATCACACAGCTGACTGCTAATGTTTTCCTGTGTCACTGTGCACTTGGAGCAGATACACAAGTCCTTTTAGAAGATGCTCGCAACTTTCTTGATCAAGAAACTACTGCTACGGTTGCGGCCGAGATTGTTGGTATGGTATTATCTGCATATGACATTAACAACAAGAAAAATATGTTACAAACTGGTGTGCTACTTGGTGGATGGGACAAGAATGGAGGAGGTAAAATATATGAGATAGGTTTTAGTGGTGTGGTAATGGAGAAGTCAAATTTTGGTGTAGGGGGGTATGGGGCTGTTGATTTGAATGATTTCTTGGAGAAAGAATGGAAGAAAGGAATGACTGAAGAAGAAGCTGAGCAATTGGTGGTGAAAGCATTGTCATTAAACACCAATATTAACAGTGCCTGTGGTGGTCAAACTGCGAGTGTAAACTCAAAAGGGTTCACGACAGCTTTTCACCCTTATGGTACACTTCCTATTAAGGCAGAGAAGTTGGAATTGGAGCATATGAATGAGAAGTACGTAGGAAAGTTGGAATTGGAGAATGTGAATGAGAAGCCATTGCTCGAATGTATACGTGCACATTTACTTTTGTTGCTGAACATCAATGAGGGTCTCTAGATTTGTATGTTTCTAACACTTACAGTGGCAAGGCAATCTAGTAGTGAATGCAATGCAGGATTACACTTACAGGCAATCTATGCTACATATTTGTTATTTTCTGCTCTGTGTATAAACACTATGCTTCATTAGGTGGCTATTCTTGTACTGTAACTCATTCAAGAGTATAAAAATTACGGTTTTCACATTGGAATTACAATCTTTTTTCAAAATTACTGCTTCTCACTACAATAAATTGCAGGTCAGCAGAGAATGGTATTGAAGCTTTTATAGATTATATCAATTTTCATCGAGATATTTTGGCTAATACTGTTACCTTCAGTTAGAGATTTGGCAATAAAGAATTTTACACAACCAATTACAGCGGGTTAAAACTCTATTACCGATATTACTAAATCATGCTATAGTAGATTAACCTGAAGATGTAAAAAACCAACACATAAAATATCAACGAGCATCAGCCACAAGAAATGGGTTAATTCATTCGAGGATAAAATCAAGCCACAAAGTTTGGCATATCCAACAAAAGACTTGATGCATTCAATGGAAGTATGTAATAATGCTACTAACTTTCATCATCGAAACAGACAAGGAATATAACACTAAGATCTAAGCAATTAAATTCAACACCAAGAAGATATGATGTCAATAAATCATTTAAGTCGGGTGAACAAAGAATTTTAGGGAACGTAGCAAAATTCCCAACAATTGCTTTCGAAGGTGAAATAGGCAATTAGAATATTTGAGGATCCTTCATAGAAAATACATTGAATGGACACTGATACTGCTCCTACGCAAGCCCTTCAGCTATGCAAAACCTAAACTGGAGCCAGCAGAATCAGTTCACTTGTAGAGGTATTGCGTCACCCGAAAAATCCTGCAGTTGAAAATTGATGCTCCATGCTTAAAAAACAGAGAGAAATATATATGCACTAGCAAACCACTCCTTGACCAAATTCTTAGGAACATTAAGGATAAAAAGTTCAGTTACATACCTTTCAGTTGAAGTTGAATCCACCTGATGGTACAGAGACATTCCCACCTCCAAACTGGAAACCCTGGTGGGTCGCATCACCAGGTGGCATGGTCTCATCATCTTCTTCCAACCAGTATGTCTCAAGAATCTTCACAGCCTTTTCATAAATCTCTTGATTGTCATGACTTTGAAGATTCTCTATTTTTTCTATACCGTCTGCATCATCAATCATTTGAGCATACACGTTTATATTTCCTGCCTCACCCAAATTCTCAACATCGCCAACCTTCAAAATATTTTCAAGCCCTTCAAGACAAACTGTGACAATCCTCGGGTCAGGACAAACTAGGAGATCACAGAGTGGTTTGATACAACCTTGACTTACAAGGTATCTGCAGGATATGATGCAAGACAAAATAAGATCGTCTGAGTGTATGCCATAAAAATTATGGTTCTAAGAAACCAGAATATCAAATTCTTACTTGATCTGTTCATTAGTACCACCAGATGTGGCATTGGAGATTGCCCATGCAGCCTCTTTTTTAATCTCAAACTCCGCATTTTGAAGCAAATTAACAAGAGGACCAAAAACACCAGCCTCAATTACACACTGCAGCAAGAAGAATAATTTGACCATGAAGTGCAGTTGAAACAATCAATATACATCTTCAAGTTAAAGGATTGCCAAAAGAGATCGCTAAATTTGTAATCCAGATGTTTTTTTTCTGTTGGGGGTGTGGACGAAGGGTAAGCGATGTTATACTGCTAGCAACTGTTTACCTGAATTTGCTCCTTGTTGCCAGCTGTAATGTTTGAAATTGTCCAACAAGCTTCCTTCTTTATACTTTTCTTGTGATTACCATTCAACAAGACCAAGAGACAGGGCAAAGCCTGATGATTGATGATACACTGAACGAAACAAAGAGACATAATTGTTTAGTATTTAAAGAGAGAAGAGAGAATGTCCTTATAACTAAAAAAAATGCTCCCTTATAGAGGAGTTTTGAACTACATGGAATAAGAAAAGTTCCCTAATTCTTGGGGTCCTAGTTAATATCACATAATCATTTATAACCTCTTATAAGATGACATATATATAAAAGATCCAGTAACATGTGCGTGCAACATAATAAAAGCACAGTTTGTCAACGTAATATCATCCAAACATTCAGTAACATGGGAGGCAGCAATTGAGTTCAATGTGTTTATTTCTACAGCCAATTTCTTGAAAATTCAGAAATTTCTGGTCTTCAACATTCTACATCTCCAATACATACATCAAGAGAAAAGAGTTTTATTGGAAGTTGTTTCACACGTCACATAAACGGAAATACTATAAGTTATTCATCTCTGCTTTTAGTTTCCGACATCAGGTTAAGAGCATTTCAAGAGCTAAGAATAAAGAGAATGACTATGCACAAATTCCAAAGTAGATTAATGGGGTGGGAAATTAAAAGAAAGCAAGATAATAGTCAAGTGAAACTTGAAAAGTCACTCTCATAGAAAAGCAATCAAACACTTCCCACCAGATGAGTATACCATCCTCAAAAATCAAAAATCCAAAAGGCAGTTGCAAAATAACAAATTAACCTAAAGTCATCAAGTAGAGAGGACAAACATAAATGTAATGCTGCTTGATGCAGATTAAACCATAGGAAATGGAAAAAAAAAACATACATTCAGCAATGATGCACCGGAAGAACCAAGGACTACTACGAACGCAAGGCAGACATTATTTGTATAAACTGATTGAGGCAGACATCAAGTAGAGAGGACAAACATAAATGTAATGCTGCTTGATGCAGATTAAACCATAGGAAATGGAAAAAAAAAACATACATTCAGCAATCATGCGCTGGAAGAGCCAAGGACTACTACGAACGCAAGGCAGACATTATTTGTATAAACTGAAAAATTATTCTAACAAATACCTGAGTTTGCATATCATCTCCGGTGACAATATTTCCAACTGTCCTTAGAGCAGGAATCAGCACCGATGGAGAAGGATGACTAAAAATATGAAAAACAATAATTAAGATCAGGACATACAAATGCCACCCATCAGTGAGAAAGATAATAATTATAGAACTCGATAACCCAGAAGTACACTAAAAAAATCAGGGTACTTACCCTAACAACTCAACCAGTCGGGGACATACTCCAGAATCAATAACAGCTTGAATTTTATCATTTGTACCATCGGAAAGATATGAGAGTGCCCAGCATGCATCAGTTAAAACTTCTTCATCGGTCGAATGTATTAGCTGTTGAAGAGCTGGAAGAGCAGGCCTTGTCTGTACATCCAGTTCACAAATTATGAGAGGCATAGCTTCCAGTTTCATCAACATTTATTCCTCATAACATGTTCGTTTCATTCAGTTTCCAAATAACATGTTTCTTTTATACTTTGGATAATAAATTATATTCCCTCTGTTTCAATTTATGTGAACCTATTTCCTTTTTAGTCCGTGCCAAAATGAATGACCCCTTCCCATATTTGGAAATAATTTACCTTTATGCAATGATTTATAGCCACACAAAATATGTGTCTCATATATATGTGCCACACAAAATACTTACCCACACCGGGTGTTTACACCAAACTATATTAACTCACAATGGTTAATTAATTCAATTAGATGAGAATGCATATATATGTGCCTCATATATATGTGCCACACAAAATACGTACCCACACCGGGTGTTTACACCAAACTATATTAACTCACTATGGTTAATTAATTCAATTAGATGAGAATGCATATATATGTGCCTCATATATATGTGCCACACAAAATACGTACCCACACCGGGTGTTTACACCAAACTATATTAACTCACTATGGTTAATTAATTCAATTAGATGAGAATGCATATAATTTACCATGGTTAAATGATTGAAGTTCATATGCAAGACACATGTCATGTATCTATTGAAATGGAGGGAGTAAATGTCAATTTCGATCGACCACACCTAAGGGATAAAAAAGTCTTAAAATGAAGACGGAAAAAGTTGGGCTAACGTGTCTTACATATCATAAAACAATAACTTAAAAACATACATATGTAGAAAAGGAAATCGTAGTAATGTGTCTTAACGCTATTCAAACAATAAATAGATAGAAGTTTCCACTGCTTTTGTTCAGAAAACCCATCTTTAGTTTTCGACAAAATCAGTAAATTATTAATTGCTTGAAAAAGAAGACTGTAACAGGTAAAATGCATCTAGGACAACCTGGTGGTTTGTTACAGTCTTGAAAAAAAAATCCTGCTTTGTCCAATGAAACAACTTCACCTAAATTCAACTCGGGGCATTTGTATTTTATTTGCTATAAGCTATTAAGAAATGAGGGAAGGAACAACCTCCCACAGTATTACACATGATAAGGGAAATGGAACTCCTCGCTCATTCCTCATCAGCAAGGACTAATATGACTACTATTAAAAGTATGTATCATTGATCACTGATCAACAAATAAATCAAGCGTTTAGGACACACCTGATCAAAAGAAGGTTGTGGCTTCCCTCTACAGAAATTTGAAAGTGTCCAAGTGGCATTTCTCAGCATAGATAGCTTGGCATTTGGGTTAAATTGGGCCAACAAGGGAGCCAAAGCACCACAGCTAAGGACTAGATCACGGCATTTTGGTGAATCACCAGCAACATTTCCTAGAGCCCACACAGCCTAAATGATGAAAAAGTCATGTTGTCAGAACCAGAAATACAAATATTATTGCATACCTCAGAAGTATAATAGAAGAAGAGCAAGGACAAGACAAATCCATTATAAATAACTATGAACAAAATTTAATCTATTTTTTCGTGTATACCTGCTCTCGGACATCATCGCTAGGAGAACCAAGAAGTTTCACAAAACTTGGGACTGCACCAGAATCAATTACCACCTTTGTATGCTCAGATGTTCCAGATGCAATATTTGTGAGAGCCCAAGCTGCCTCAAACTGAGTAATGTTGATAGATACAAGGAAATTCGTAGTCAGACTATCTATCTTGCAGGACGATACAAGGATAATGCAAGTAGTGGAGGGGTTTAGCACCTGAAGCTGTGGAAAGTCATCTCTCATTAGAAATTGAACAAAACGAGGAACTACACCAGCTTGAATTACTTCCGCTATTGGGGGACTCCTTTCTGTATAGTTACCAAAATCGAAAAATATGTCTACTGGGTAAGAAACCACCAGAAAACTCGGCAATAAAAACAGGAATATTTGTATCTACATAACAATGGTTACCGATTGAGAGCATTTTTCTGAAATAAGAAGTAGCCTCAAGCTGTACATTGCCATCTTCGCCCCAAACACCTGCAACCAATTGTGGTATCATCTCTAACTGCAAAATAAAGGCATTTGAAACAAACATCAGTAGCTACAAATGAAGAAAAGAGTACAATATATTCCAAGTATTGTAGATCGATACAACAAAACTTTGTTGCAAAACCAATATATTCAATACGCTTCACAAAACCATGCAACTGTTTTCACGTGCAGATATAAACAAACCAATGGATACTTGGAAGAAGTCACAGTCTAGTACAAAACGAATATTCAAATCTATACAACACCTCACTCATCGTTTGGGCATATATTTACAAACAAGTCAACAACGACCAAACATAAACATTCGAAAACACTTCATAGCAAGTCAATACATGTTTGTCAAAAGCTTAACGACAACTCAACAGAAAATCGTTATTCATTATATCTATCCATGTTCAGAAAAATACTACTAGGAAAATCCTAAATTTCACCAAACAGACAAATACATGATGAAAATCAAGGAAATCATAAGTTAATGTTCTAACTGATAGAAAATCAGGAAAGGTCAATATTCAATAAAATCAGAAACTTAATCTAACAGTACTAGTCGATAAAACATAAGGAAATGAAAAATACAGATCTATTTTCCACCTTTTCGCCAGAGGCTGTCTGAACAGGAACATTATGTAGCTGATCCGGCTGAAGACCTTCACGTCGCTTCTTCTGCAAGCTTTCCTCTCTCCTATTCTTACGAATCTCAACCATGTTATCCTCTCTCCTACGCCTTCCTTCCTCCGCATCCACGGCTACCTTATACCGGTTCCGACGAACCTCCGTCCTCGCACTCGGTCTCAGCGACATTTTCGCTTCCGATGAATCAATAAAATCAAGGGAAAATGTATATATAACTAAGCGGTACAGTGTATATATATACGCAGAACTGGAGCAGTGGGGTAGAGAAAAGAGTGATGGCGGAAGGGTTTGGGCTTTTGATTTGAAAAAGGGGAGAGAATACGATGGTTTATATAGGGTTTGTTGAAGGGATCGGTGCCGTTGTGGAAAAGGGCATTATTTAAGAGATATTTGCGGAATGAGGACTAAATTTGAATTTTGAAAATGTAAGGAAGCGGAACGGCTATATAGTAAAAATTGCACGGGGCGCCCTATTTGGTCGCCCCTATTTAATCTATACCTATTTTTTAAAAAACTTTTAACTTGTACCCACTTTTTAAACAATTTCAACTCTCTTTCTCCTCTCCCTTCTCCTCCTTCATTTTCTTTTTTCTTCTTCTACAACGATGACTTCAACATTGTTCTCTTTGATTAATGAAGCTAAATCAAATATACTGAGGATATTACTCTCGTTGGCATGGAGGATGACTTCAACGACATAAGAGATCAACTCATTGGGCAAGCACGGGAGCTCTTGCTAGATAAATTTTTAGCAATATAATCCATCAGTATTATTTCGTTTTGATGTTTCTTCATGGGTTACTATTTCTCAAGAATATGATGCAAGAGAAATTCTTATAAATGTTTTAAGCTTTGGTACTTCTGATGTGACGGCAGTATATCATGACAAGAGCTATGACCAATTATTAGAGCAGTTATATAGAAAATTAAAAGGCAAAAGATATTTGATAGTTATGGATGTTACAAAGACAAAAACTTCAACGTATAAACTTCAGCTCTAGAGCTGAACTTCAGGCCCGGCTACTAGAATGTGAAGTTTTGCGTGATTGTCTTTGCTACTTCAGCCTCGTGTGCTAAAGTTATGCGAAAAAGCGGGTACGAATGCAAATTTTTTTGCAAAGCGGGCACAATTTAAAATGTGACACAAAAAGCGGGTATAGATGCAAATGTCCGGCTATATATTAGAAGGGAGAAAGGTGAGCCCAAACATCATCGGATGTGTCTCGGCCCAAATGGGTAACGTGAGGCCCAAGTAGTGTAACAAAAAAAAGTTTTGATTATTTTATATGTCCAATAACAAAAAAGAAAATGTCAAAGGAACCAATGAAGTTGAAAGAAAAAAAAAAAAGGAATTAACGAAGTTGGACGAATAGGATAATAGCAACGGAGTAAAGAAATAGAAACAGTTGCTTATCAACCACTTCCCTTTTAGGCCTTACGAAACCGAACCAAACAGGTTTTAATACTCTTTCTTGTGTTTTCAAATCAAAAGAGCACCTTCTAGTAACGATTAGTCCATTATGGACCACACTCTATTTATGTTTAATATTGAGGAAAGTGTTCCCTTTTCAAGGTATATCCACTGTATCATATAATTCAAGGTATTAAAATACTTCTTCAAATGAAATAATTTGAATTAACAAGGAATAACTATGCCTCTACTGACCAATAGAAATCGGTGTCCGGCCTATTTGGGGAGGTTTTGAGAAGACAGTATAACTAAACCAACAAGCAACCAATGTGTTTTTTTTTTACGTAGGGCAGTCTGGTACATAAAGTATTCCGTATTCACACAAGATTATTTAAGGAAGAATCGCACTCCAAAGGGTGTGATATAACTATTTCACTCAAAAGATATCAAAACCTTTTTGAACAAATCAATCAAAGAAGATGAAGGGGTAAAATCTTAGTCAGGCATAATAAATTCTAAATCAAAGAGCTAATAGTATGAATTGTATATAGGACGAAGAAGATGTAAACGATCTTATTGAAATTCAACATTGACCCCCATCGATCGATGGGAGAGATAGTTTTACATGTTCTTCTGTAGATTACTTCTTTCTTATCAAGATTACAAGAAGAGAGCTTGGGAGAGAGAAAAGTGGGGGGAGCCTCTCTCTTTAATCGAAGGTTTTCCCCTACTATATATAGCCATGGCACCTTTGCCATTTACTTGATCTAACGCTCTCTCACCTCCGGTGTGTCTTGGTCGTCCTTTTAGGCATTGCTCTTTCCGACTCGATGGGTGTCGGGAAAGGGACGTAGAGTGAGTTGTGTTATCTTTCACTGCCCGGTCATTTAGGCGGGACGTTAGTCAGTTCGACCGTGACGGTCAAATTTTGACCAATACAGTTAGTCACTCCGTTTGTCGGGGTTGTCCTCTATCGGGCTCGGCAGACGGATCATGATTGCTATGAATTCGAGCGAAATCTGACTTCTCGTTCCTTAGTAACATTACTCGAGTTTTACGTGAGATGGTGGCATTCTTTCGATACCCGCGAACTGTTGCGGCCATTTCGGAACCGAAACGTTCTGGCATCGAACCGCTATTTCGTGGTTACCGCCATTATGACACACATTCCTGGGGAACTGAAATGTTTCGTGCCCTATCAAATTCGATTAGCGACTCTTAGGTTTCGTGCTCGAGGGATTTATGTCTCTTATAAATAGAGGGAATTTATCATTCGATTGACATACTCTTTTGCCTTTTACTCTAGAGTATTCTGCAGGTATACTTTCTTTGTGACACTCCAAGTTTTCGTTTGCCCTTAATTAACTGAAAATCTCCATCCTTTCTTTCCGATGTCTTTTTGCCGCATTTTCTGGACAAAATGGCTGATGATTCCTCTCGCACCGATCTCCCTGCCACAATTCCGGCACCGGAAAGTGCTGCTCAGGCCACCGGAGGGGTAGATGCAGTGGAAGACAATGAGGTCCCGTCGATAGTTGAGATTTTGCCTCGCCCTGGGAGAGAACTGACCAACTTCAGCAGTCGCGCCGGGGTGGAGTCGGAGCCTATCCCTTCTGTTCTAAAGAGAAGCAGACATTGCAGAGTTGAAAACCAGGTGGGGGATCCCCGGCTACGTCGACATGCGACCGGCGGTAGGAACCGACATTGTTCATTTTGACCATCCTGGGTACTGTGTATTTTACGCCTACCCCTTCCTTATTGGATACACATTTCCTCTCCCTCTCCTAGTGGTAGACTTCTGTCATTTTTATGACGTATGCCCCGCCCAACTTTCGTCGTACCTGTACAAGTTGTTCCTTATGTTGCTCAAATTTGTGGAACTCGCCAGTTGTGAGATCACTTTGGACCATCTACTCAGTATCTTCGCCCCTCAACTCATCCGCGGCACGATGCTTCACATGCATCCTCGGGGGTCGAAAAGTCTGGTGGTGAAAATGGACGATAGGACTAACCGTCGTTTTTATGAGAAGTACTTCTATGTGCGGACTGAACACATTGTGGCTTATCCGACGGGGTTCCCTAAGAAACGGAACTTTGCACGTAAGTCTCATGTTTTTAGCCGGAGGTATATCCGACCATTTTCCGTTAAAGCACTAAACCCTATTTTGTTTTTGCAGCTGAGAAATTGCTCCCTCCGCCTGTCAAAAATATCCGTGAGTGGATGAGTGTTATTCTCCCTCATACGGAGGGGGTCCGCACGTAGGCAACTTTCTATGACAAGAACGGGCGCAAGCCTCTTTTTTGTAAGATGTAGTTTCTATTCGCTTCTATTTTCCTTTGTATTTAATTCTTCACGTGTTGTTCATTGATATCAGGGAGGGTGCGGAGAGTGAGGGATTCTCTGTTAGCTTTCCGGCAGCCAGCTTCCTCTGCTCACCCTATCGCGGTACCCACTGCCCGACCTTCATCAAGGGACTCTTTAGTTGAGTCTGCGGTCGTGGTTACTCCTGCGAGGGTCGCTTCTCAGGCCGAAATTCCGACCCGTATCACTCACCCAATGGGTGAATCCGTCTACTGGGGAAGAAGAGAGGCCATCGAAGTAACAACGAGTGGAGTTTGAGATCTTGCCCCCAACAGTGATTCAAATAGACGAATCTTCTACGACGGGATCTAGAGAGGGGGTTGTCGTGGCTCCCCCCGTAGGGACGGAACCAGTCGTTGTCTTGGCTCAAGCAGAGATTCCTACCATTGTCGGTGGTCAGCAACCTATCATGGCAGAAGGTTAGACTTCTGGGGTCGTCGTTGTAGTTTCGAACGTACTCTCATCCTCTGCAGTTGGTCGTGTTTCCTCTTCAGCTGCTGAAAGAGGAAAAGGCGTGGTGGTCGATGATTACGAATTCGAATCAGACCTCGACCCTGATGATGTCAGGATGTTTGAGGAGGGCCTTACTCACTCGGTGGTTCGTGCGAGAGGCTCGACCCGTATCCTTGAGATCCCTTCGGATGTCAATCTCTTGGTGGACATGGAGGATCTGGTGCCACAGTTCAGCATGATATGCTTCGTAGTCAAGAATGCGGCCCTTCGGTCCGTTCCTGATGTTGATTTAATGGATGAGGTGGCTGCTATGGGCTTAAGGGTTATTACGTTTACTTTCGTTTTCCCTCGCCTTTCTTGGTGATACGATTCTAATCCGTCTTTACATTTTTTAGATGTATCTGGTGGAAATGGAAAGCATTCGCAGGGCCAATTTCGGGCCAAGATTTTCTAGAAGATGTTAGAGAAATATTGTCGCTACCACGACAAGTGTCGCGAGATGCATGAGCGGCTGAAGGCAAACCCCGGTAATCAGGCTCTTGGTGAGGAGTTGGAGAAAATGGACCAGGAATTGATGCAAGCTATCCACAATAGGAGTGTGCTTGAGGAGCAACTTCGAATAAAGGACGAGCAGCTCGAGTTGGGCAAGGGGGTCGTCATAGAGTGCGAGCATCTGCAGGAGAAATTGAGGTCAATGCAGTCGGAGATGGATCAGAATTTGATCAAGGTCGAGTTGTTGAGTGCGGAATGGATGGGGAAATTGACTGAGCTGGAGAACAAGGTTGTTGGGTTGGAGAGCATCGAGAGTGCTTGGTCTGCGGCTTCGGCGAGGGAAGCGGCCCTGGAGAACACTATCCACGTCCTCCAGTCCGAGCAGGAGTCGGAGAGAGCGACGACTACCCTTATGGAGGCAAGGCTTGAGGAGCGCATTAGCGGGATTGATCAAGAGGCATCGGTTCTGGGAGACCGGGTCACAGCACTAGAGGCAGAAAATAGGAGACTGTTGGCTTAGATTGAATCTTCCTCCACCGTCGTTCCCCACCACATGCACGAGCTTTGGGTTTATGTCAAAGCCCAGCGGGATATAT